TCAAATTTGAATTTAGGCAAAAAAACATGGGTTGATTTCAAAATCCATTTTAAAAAAAAGGAAAAAATATTTTCAATGCTAATTGCAAGAAATAATAGAATAGGAATAATAATAGGACTAATAAGGTTATGCTTTTCTTCCTCAGGTATTGCTGTAGTGTATAAATGTATTCCCTTTTTATGCCCTCATCTTACTTAGTCTGCTAGAGATGCATCTGTTCTGTGGAGTCTTTCCCTCTGCCTGAATTTGCAGGGCTATTGAATATGGTAATATACTTGCTTCTTTTCTGGAAAAAGCATCAGGACTAGTTAGCTTAGAGCCAAGACCTTCTTTTTTTGTGTTTGATATGTTATTCATATCCTGTCTCACAGGGACAGGAAGTATTTGCCAAAGGGGTAAATATCAATATAATTGTTTCCCTTATTTTTGTTGTGTTATGATAATTTTTGTAACAACTAATAATTAGCCCTAAAATTGGTGCTTCAGCTTCAGTCACTAAAGGGAAATAGTTCACTGGTTCATAGCAGAAGAGGCACCATTTAAAATTAAGGCCATTGCTCAGAAAGACTTTGGTTTCTTCGTCCATGTTGCCTGTGAGAAACTCTTAGATGTCACAGGCTGATAATATGCCCTTGATGTAACTTTTCCTTGGCATAGGTGGAGATGAGGGCTATTTACTCTTGCTGTAATTTCAGACACTACTGGACTTAACATATGCTACTCCCATTAACTTGGGAAGTAGTTATTGTCAGTGGCATTGAGGTCCCCCTTCTGTACAATGAAACAGCTGATTTTCAGTTATGTCTCCATGCCCTGGTTCACTGAATGACACAGGAATTACATTAGAAAGGAATTTCACAGATAGAAAAGGGGGTACTTTGGCAGATGGAGCTATTTCTGAGGAGTAGAGCTTAACACAGAATATTCAGATTGGAAAGGTGATACTTTGTGGTAATGCCAAGGGAGCCAGGCCTGCAGTGCGCTTGCACCCTTGTCCTCTTAGCATTGTCTCTTCTAATAACAAAAGCATGAAGTAGTACCTTGGGGCTCTCCAGCTGAGCTGGGCGGCTAAGAGCACGAGCCTCCTCTGCTTCTAGTTGTGCTGGTTAAAAAAGCTATCGCTCCAAGTTGCATATCACAGCATCTTTTCTGGAGGTGTTGGTCCTCCTCACCCCTCAGAGCTCAGTGAGCTACTTGAACGACCATTCCCTAGTCTGTCTCAGCTCACACAGGCAGGGTTAACTAAAAGCCTTCAGATAATGTCTTTGGTGACTTAGTTCTTTCTGACATTACATAAGCTAGAGAGTACTTCAATGTGCAGCCCACCTGGCAAATCTGAGGGGTCTCCAATAATGGGATGGCAACCTTTGAGCCAGAAGAGAAGGTAAGTGCAAGACCGTCTATGTTCTGACTGACCGCTTAAGTTATTCTTCACTCTACAAGCCCCACCATCCACTTTGGTCACCCTGGAAGATAACTTGGTTTTGACCCATGTGTGACCATTAGCTCTTCATCCCTCTGTGTCACTTTCTAACTTTTCTTTTTCTTTTTTTTTTTTTCCATCTATTTAATTGTAGACATCTTGGAAGAAGGTGTCTCTGTTTTCAGGATGCCAAGCCAAGCAAAACAAAGCCCAGATCCTGTTCAGGTCCTTCAGCTTCTGCTGAAATAATTAATGAGGTTTCGTATGAGCTGTTGCAAAGTGCCTAGAGACTGCTAGATTTGCCTACACAGTTGCCGTGGTGAACCTTGGCCACATAGTTGTTTGTTAAGCAATTTTGCCTCTAATATAAAAGGCATTGTGTAAAATCAGCTCCTGTTATTTTTTCATAGAGAATCTCCATCCAAACTTTAAGCTTAGAATTGCTATCTCCTTAAATGCTTTCAGATAGTAATGATACAAGTTTTTCCAGTTAGTATATATCATTACTTTTTATAAAGCAAAGCTTTGTTCCTAGCTGTAGAAATATTGTGATTTACTGGCCTCCGGCCAATCTGTTAATTACCTGCTAGTTCCTACCCCTGTACCTGGGGCTTTGGTTCATTCCAGCGTAAATTATTAACTTGCTGGTAAAGGATAAGCACCTCATAAATAGTTTCTCTAAATAACTTGACAATGCTGCAGAAGTTTAATTTTTGTATTTTTTTTCTTATAAATAAGAATAAATATGTGGGGGGCAGCTTTAAAGTGCAGTTATATAAGGCAACTCTTGATTTGAGATATCAAATAGTAGCCACATATCCATGTGTACTACGTACAAGTGTCACAGACCTGTTACTTAGGTACCTTCATGTTTTTGGGAGAATTTCAGTAGTTTTACATGTACCAGACTGATTGAAGACTGGTTTGTTTTATAATGCTTAGTTTGGTTTGGGTTTTTTGGTCATGTTGTTTTAAAATAGTAAGATCAGATGAAGAGATCTTAGGCCAGGCTTCACTTGTGGTAAGTCCATTGAGAGAATTTGCAATAGTTAAAGACAGTCTGGCTGTCTTAACGTAATTAAGACAGATAATAGACTTTTTAATCTCTTTTTCTGTATCTCGTCCTGTCCTTTTTTTTTTTTTTTTCCAGAAGTTGTAAGCCACTTATTTTTTTTAAATGTGGGATAATAAATATAAAACTCACTGTTCTCAGAAGGAAAAGGCTGGGACTGTCCTTGGCCTGGGAAGCATCCTTTAGGAAGCTTATGTACCTGAAGTTAGAAAATAATTTTTTGCAGCCCTCTTACAGTTTTGGATATAAAAAGTGTCTCAACTGATTAATTGCTTTTGTAGCTCACGGGGAGAGAAGAGATTCTGTAATTGCCTAGATCCTAGGCCTTGCTTAGATGCCTTCTATCTACTAAATAAGCCAATAGACAGGATAACTAATTCAAGGACAGGTATTACAGACTCTTCTTGCAATGGGCCATTAATATATTCTGTGTGAGCTGAACTCCCTGAGAGAACTTAACAAATATGCCCAGGATAAAGAAAGTACATCAACCCATTTTTAGCTGTAACCTCAAGTGAGAGAAGTTAAAATCATCCCATCAAACACAGCAGGCAAAAATGGTGTTCTTGTGTTGTTTGTATTCATACAAATGGATAAGGAACCTGCCTGAAGCAGTGAATCACCATGGTAAATGGCTGGCCAGCTACCATAATTTGGAAATGATCTCACCTAATGAAATTTGTCAGGATCAAATTTGCTTGACCTTGTCTCATTAATACGGGTTTGGTTGGAGGCTGGAAGAAGTAGAAGTAGGATAAGGAAACGGAGAGGAGCATGGTCTGTACAGGAAGGCTGAGAGTAGTAGGGCTTGCCATAGTGGGTACCATAATACTATGGGCAAGAGAGAGCAGGGATCCCTAGAGCAGAGCAGTGCTAGAAGCAATACAGAGGAGTACAGTGCTCATTCTCCTGCCCTGCACATTGTTTCAGTCTGCAGGAAAAAGCTCAAGTACCTAGAGCTCCCTGTGATGAACTGGTAGATTTTGTGTTGCCCTGTTTCCTTCCTTTTTTTTCCCCCCCAAAATGCCTCAGCCAAGGTCACATGGTACTGCGTGGTGGATATACCCATACAGAACATTCCCCATGGTGGGAGTTCCGCAGTAACATAAGAAAGAGTGACTTGAGAGCAGATATAGAGGTGAACTAGGTTGTCCCAGTTTGTATAGGCTGTCTAAGTTGATGGCTAAGCTAGGGGGAGGGCTGGATTGCCCACCTAATGCACACCAAAAGGAAAGATAATGGGTTTGCATCACTTCTGAGAGATGGTTCTGACTGAGAAATAAACACCAAAGGAAAGTGGCTTTAGCTGAAAATTGAATTCTCAGCAGCAAGAAGTGCCTGATCTGATTGTTTGTACCTTTTCCCCCAAAACTTTGGCAGCCTGTTTTCTTTGTCTCTCCTCTTTTTTCCCTTTTCTCTCCTCCAGCCCCTGGCCCTGGCCCTGTGACTTTCAGCCCTCTCAGAACTAGCAGTCGGTCTCTCTTTGCCTGGAAGGAACACTCTGCTCTACTGTGGAAGCGACAGCTCCTTTTATCTTGTGTGCTGTGGTTATCTGACTTGTGCATCTCAGAGCAAAACTGATAAAGACTGCTAAGACAAGATGGTCATTTTCAATCCTTAATAGCTTATCAGGTTTTTAAAATCTCACGAAAGAGCTGTGTGTTAGTTAAATGATGATTAATGGGGATGCTTATGAATAAAATGTGCCAATTTATGTTTGATTTTGTAATAATAGTGTTAGACTTGTCTCTTTTCTCTGTCTTAAGTCTATAAACAAAGGGATCACAAGAGAACAGCATGTCTGCGCTTGCTTAAATCAGCTGGAATTAGTGGCACATGCCCTTTGAGGTCCCCAAGTTAGGTGGAAGCACTGAAAATTATTGTGATTTTGTATCAGGATAGTTCAAGATAGTAAAGCCAAGACCTAACCCACCTACTTTATATCAGATGATTCAAACAGTCTGTGGAACAATATAGAAACTGTAACAGAGTTACCATTTTTGTGTCATAGGAGGGGAAAAAAAGAGAAAATGGGTATTGTCATGATGAACTCTTGGTTATGTGTTTGGGGTTTTTTTTGCAGTTGTTATGCAAGTTGTTATAGAGCCACCATTACGAACCTTCTGCCTGGATGAGGAGGTAGTTAGGCTTCCAGTGCAAGTTCCCATTTCGTGACAAATGCATGCCCATAGATGGAGGATGGGCCCTTTCAGGTTTTGAATACTAGCCCCTCATGTAGTCTAAGCTGTCTGGGCAGTAGGTTAGGATAGAAATAAGCTATTTGCAAGTACAGTGGCACAAGCAGATGAACATTGGCACCAGTCTGATAAAAACAGGGGAAGCAGTCATGTATAGGAAGCTAAAAGCCGTATGAGATCTCAAGTTTATTCCCCATGCCGCCATGAACATTTGAGTTTATACAGCATTGTCAATAATGAAGTAACTGGTTGTGGTTGTTTCTTTTTATAATGCAAATGCATTGATGTTCTCTTTCTTCTCTTGCAGCTGCCCTGAGAGCTTGTGCTGATGGAGGTGCCAATCGTCTCTACCACATCACGGAAGGGAGCCAGGAACGGTATGTTAGCAATACACTAGAAGTCACTGAAGTCATCTTCTCAATGAAAGTAAAATACAGAGGAACAGGATCTGTTCAGTTACTGAAGTACCTGCCTGCTCTGTGCATGGTACTTTAATGAACTGTGGCAGATAGTATAGTATTTTCTCCACATTATCTTTAATTTTTATTCCCAACTACAATTTTTAAAAACACAGGTAGCCTGAAATACCATTTTCCCTGAAGCCCACTAGTCTTTTTTTCCTCTTAAAAGATCTGCTCTCAGTCTGTCCTATTTTATGCATCCATCAGAGTTATGCCTCTGAAAAAAATTGCTGTGCCCCTAGCAAGGGTTGCCTAGAGGAACATCTTATGCCTGTCATGATGAGCTGAAACAAAGTGTGTCCTCTTCATTTTTCCTGTGAGGCCTTAGAGGAAACCTGCTTACTTTGTGAAATGAGATGGGTAATAAAATAGGAAGTCTTCTTTTTGAATTATTTCTCAGTTAGCATCAGGGCGTGATAAGTGACCAAAGGAAAGTGCAGAGGTTATCTATAAATGTATATGCTAGGTGAGGAAATATGACTGAAAGAACATGTTCTGTTTTTCTGCAATGGCATTTAAAATTGTAAAATATCCCAGTTTGTGCCCCAGAGTTGTTGAGCTGGGGTTGTGATGCAAAATACTGCATTCAAGTGCTTTCTTATTTTTGTAGTGGAACCATGTAATGCTGTGTAAACTTAACTTAATAAGGATTCTTTTTGCTTGTCTTTAAGATTTTCAGTTGTTTTGAGCAAGAATTCATAAATAAGTAGTTTCATAAAAGCAAATAAATTGATAGAACTGACTCTTGGGGCAACGGAATGAGACAGGCATTTGGTAGAACTTACAAATTTATGAACAATTTTGTTCATATAGCAAAATCTGACATGGGGTTTGCTTTTCATGTCATGGCAAGTGTATGACAGAGACCAGGGGAAGCTTGGTTTCCTCCTCTCCTTCAGAGTAAAGCCCAGAGTTGGAGAGGAAGACTCCAGTCTGAAAGTAAAAATTATCTAAAAATTTCTTTCTTTGTCACCTGTGAAAGGTCTGGCTGAAGTTCTACAACTGCTAAAACAGAGACTGGAGTCTGGCAAGCACTACTGTCATAGAATATTCCTTCTTGTAACCTTTGTTTCTCCTTTTCTAGTAGTCGCTCATAGAGCCATGCACAACTCAACAGGTGACTGTTTGAATTCAAGACTGACTTGCAGCCAACATTTCTCTTTGATAATGGTGATGCTCTCCAAAGAACAATATTTTAGAACTTTCACTTTACCTTCTCCTGTAACCCATTCATCTCTTCTGCACACCTTTATGTTTGTATTAAATAAATATAATTCAGGGGAAAATGGATGATTATACCTTGACTGAATAGTTCTTTCAGTCTTATATACTTGGCCCTTGGAGTATTCTTTTCCTCTTTGTTCTCATCTTAGTTGCTTTGGGTAGGTATATTTTATCTTCAAACTGCTTCTTTTTGAAACAACAAAAAAAAGATCTACCTAATTTGGACTTTTTTTCTTTAAGGAAATCATTCTGCTAGAAAGAATATCCATTTACTTCTCTGAAGTATTTTCCTTTAAACTCCCTGTCCAGTGTCATTAAAGAGCTGTCTGCTCAGACTCTACTGACATGCTAATCATTTTTTAATGCTGTCTTAACCTTCTGTTTAAAACTCTACTTTATTCGAAGCCCTGATATCTAATTGTGTTATAGCAAACCCTAAAAAGCTACAGTCCTTAAATTTTAGAGATTATTATATCCAAGAGATACAAATAAAGAATTTGATTGATATTTTCAGCTTGATTCTCAGTGACACTAAAGTATGTGAAGAACCCTTTAAAAGAATGGGAATAGATGATAATATTATGGAAAAATAACAGCTTGGATTATGGGACTGTTGCACAAGTGTCTTCCTTTGGAGATAAGTTCATATTACAGAATCACAGAATCGATTCCCTATACTGCATGTGTTAGTGTTCAAGCATTTATAGAGGTATTTGATTGTGTCAATAGCCCAGTGCAAAGGGATGCCCCATAGTCCTGTTTTGTGGTTATGTCTTTGGATGCTTGTGCTTGATCGAGGTGTTCCCTCTTAAGCCTCCTTTTGGTACTTGGACAGTCGCTTGTCTCTGTCACACCTTATCTCTGTCAAGCCTGGCTATGTCTCCATCCCTCTTCAAATCTAGTTTAAAGCTCTCTCAACGAGCCCTGCTAACCCCTGAGCTAAGATCCTTTTACCCCTTTGAGACATGTGGCCTCTGTTTGTTGCCTGCAGGCTCAGTGTCGTATAAACTGACATACCATCAAAAAACCAAAATAGCACTGCTAACACCAGTCTTGAACCCAGATGTTCATCTGCATAATTTTCCTGTTTCTTACCCTAACATTCTCTGCAACTGGACAAAAAAAACCCACAACTGGTGCTGCAGATCCCTTGACTAGTTGTCCCAACACCCTGAGGTCCCTCTTACGTTTCCACAGCCTTCTTGTCAGGATTTCATTGGTATCCAATTGAAAAGCCAGTAGCAGGTAATAATCAGTGGGCCGTACCAGGGTGGGGAATTTTTTGGTAATGTGTCTTTTCCAGGCCCAGAGAGGCAACAACCAACCCTAGGGATTGGGTTCGATTGGCAGTGAAATAGTTGTTGCTATTTTGAAGGGTCCATTTCCAAATCCTAGCAAAATACAGAGCTAGAAATTACCTCAAGAGATCCATCCTACTTTCCCTCCACTTTAAGGTGAAGACAAAGCTGTCTGTTCCATGCCTGATACATAACTAAATTAGCTGGTTCTTAAAAATATTCAAGTGAGAGCTGTATCTGCCACCCCACCCTGCATCCAGCTTACTCTGTTTTGGGCTAAAATGTGCCCAGCTTGTTTGGTGTTTCTGTTGGTCATCTTCTCTTATTGCTCTTATTTGATTCTCTTCAGTTAGTTCTAGAAGTGCTGTGGCTGAAGCCAGGCAAGATGCTTTACAGGAGGCTTACTCCTTGTGAATAATTCTTTAACTTGCTTCTCATTAAGTTGGCCTATGCTGTTGAATGAAAACCAGGAAAGGGTGATTCAAGACCACCCCCCCTGCCTCCATCTGTTTCCTGTTTTTTCCACTGATGTTTTGACTTGCTTCTGTGCTCAAGTGGTTCACCTATTCCTATCAAGCAAAGGAAGTTCTCACCTTCCTCTCTGTAGCACTGCACAGGCTGCTTAACAATGAGACTTTGGGTAATGAATTAACATACGTAAGATGTTTTGTGTCTTCATCTCTGTTTGTGGTGTCATTTTTATGACATTTGGTTGGTTTTCCCATAAATTTCTGTAAAAACTAGCTCAACAAATCTGAATTGCAATTATTTTTGTTTAAAAACAAACCAATCCAAGAAAATTGTCATTTTTATAAGTACCAACAAGGAGAAACCATGTTAAAACAAATACCTTGTAGAGCAGGAGGGATAGGAAGAGTAACCAAAAGGACAGGATAACTTTCCCTTAGAGAGGCTCATCCTTGGGAGCTGTGAGTGTTGGGGTCAGGAGAAAGGCAAGACTGAAAAAGGAGAGAATCCTGTTGCTTTTCTCTCTCTGACTCTACAGCCCAGGAAGGTTTTTTTCCTTAAACTACAGGGGTTTTTTTGTTAACACCAGTTCCAACTTAGAAATAAGGATTATTGCAAAATTGTTCTTAGTTGCTGAACATTTGCAGCTAATCAGAGTTAAAGGTGAGTTACTAATATTTATGGTTTTTTTGCTCTGCCTTATTCTGTCTACCTTGCCTATCGTATTGTTTATTTTCTCGAAGCACTATGAAACACTGTTATCTGCTTCAGAGTTAGGCTTATCTCTACCACGCTGCAGCAACTTCTTTCTCAACACTTTCTGATTAAATCTTAAGGCATCGATGTACCTGAGCGTCACTGGCTTTGGGGTACATGAAGATGAAAATGCGTTGAAAACTATCATTGTATTGGCACCTTTAAAAGCAATCATTAATACTTGTGTCTTGGATGCTGTTTTCCACAGAGATATCACATCCATCCTCTACTCAGATTTTGCGGTGTTAAGGTCATCAGGTTGAAGAGGGGGGCAGTGAGCTCTATAAGAGTAAGGATAATACTATCATGACAAATACTGTCTTTCTGGGGTTCTGCTTAGTATTTCAGTATTTCAGACTTACTGTATGACACAAGTTGATTTGCCTACAGTCACTGAGAACATCACTTTCACTACCCTTCCTGGTTTTTTTCTGTGAACTCCATAAAACATAAGAGCAGCAGTGAAAATGGAAAATGGTAGCATTTTCTACATATTAAACATACATGAGGTGAACTCAGGTGTTGCATGAAAATACAGCTGCTACTATATAATTCTTCTCTGAGCTGGATGTGAATGGAGGCAGCTTCGAGAACCTCTACACGTCTGTTTGAACATTAGGAACAAATTTTGTAAACATTTCCAGTTGATGTAAACATTTCCAGCTTCTAAATTTCAAGTACAGACCTCAAAAATATCTTTTTACAAGCAATTTATGTCTTTGACGTCCCTGGCCAGATGCAATTTCACTTGGGCTTTAGATTGCCTGACTTCATCCATCCCCAAGCACAGCTCCGTTCACTCCAGCTGCCCTCTCACATAAAGGGCAACTCTTCTTTCTCACCTCCCCATCCTGTTCTTCCTGAAGAGCCTACATCCCTTCATTGCAACACCTAGTCCATTTGTTTCCACAATCCCAACAAGCTAGTAGTTCTGCAACTGCACAAAGATCTAACTCATCATGTTTCCCTCCCCATGCTACATGCATTTCCCATGGCTTTATTTTGCCTGAAAGTTTGAAAATTAAGCAATAAGTTTAACCTCTGAATAGGAAGATTAAGCTGTTGTAACTTTGTAACTTCCACGAGGAAAAAGTAGTCATACAGTGGCTTACGTGAAAGGTGGAAAAATAACTCAGAGTGGAGTTTGTCTGTATACTTGGATGGCTTCAT